GCTTATTTAACTTATATGCACAATACATCATGCAAAAGGCCGGACTGGAGGAATCCCAAATCGGAATTAAGATTGCCGAAAGAAATATCAACAAGCTCCAATATGCAGATGATACAACTCTGATAGCAGAAACTGAGGAGGAACTAAAAGAACCTCTTAATAAGGGTGAAAGAGGAGAGTGCAAAAAACGGTCTGAAGCTCAACATCAAAAAAACCAAGATCATGTCCACTGGTCACATCACATCCTGGCAAACAGAAGGGTAACATATGGAGGCAGTGACAGATGTTACTTTTTTGGCTCCATGATCGCTGCAGTTGGTGACAGCAGCCACAAAATTAAAAGATACCTGCTTCTTGGGAGGAAAGCGATGACAAACCTAGACAGCATCTTCAAAAGCAGAGACATCACCTTTTCAACAAGAGTTCGCATATTCAAAGCTATGGTTTTTCCTGTAGAGATGTATGGAAGTGAGAGCTGAACCATAAAGAAGGTTGACCGCTGAATAATTGATGCTTTTGAATTGTGGTGCTGGAGAAGGCTCTTGAGTGTCCCCTGGACTGCAAGGAGAACAAACCTATCCATTCTGAAGAAAATCAACCCTGAGTGCTCACTGGAAGGACAGATCCTGAAGCTGAGGCTCCAATACTTGGCCATCTCATGAGAAGAGAAGACTCCCTGGAAAAGACCCTGACGTTGGGAAAGTGTGAAGGCAAGAGGAGAAGGGGCCGACAGAGGATGAGATGGTTGGACAATGTCATAGAAGCTACCAACATGAATTTGACTCAACTCTGGGAGGCAGTGGAGGACAGGGGGGCCTGGCGTGCTCTGGTCCATGGGGTCACAAAGAGTCCAACACGACTACACAACAACAACAACAACAAAGTTCTGGAGCATCCTGAATACGAAGGCTAAAGGTCACACATGCTGTCTCTTCTCCTGGGAGGCACAGTGAGGAATCAAATTCTCAACTTCTGGATTTGTAGCCAAATACCTAACATATTCAGCTATCTAGCATAGTTACACTCCAAGCCTGCTGAAAGCAATGTACAATTAAGCCAGTCAGTGCTGAATTGCATCTTGTAACTATGGCATAGTATATTTAGTGGTCCTAAACGCAACTACTCAGAACTTATATAAATATCAATAATACAAAAAATCTACTCTAATTGGGTTTACCGCTGTAACTGGGATACAAATCATAGTCTTTAGGCGTACAACAGTATTTCAGTAGGACATGATAGCTTTATAGGCCTCTTCCAGCCCCATTATTCTATGATTGTTCTTTTTCTCTTCCACAAAACTCATGATTACAAAAAATCATATTTTAAAAAAATAGAGGTTCACATTTTAGGCCACAATCTGGTTTTGAAAACCAGCGTCTACTGCAGTTGCAGAGCAGGGTGGGAGCTGTTTTCTGAGGAACACAAGCTCACGTAGAACTTATTGCATAGTTATTTGCAAGTAGATTTTATAGTATACTGCTGTAATATTTGCCCTTCAAAATCTGTGACATTTTTTTCGAAGAATGGTAACCAGTCATCCCGTTCAAACTTCAAGGTTTATGGCCTCTTTTACATGTTTTAAAACAAGAATCACTATTAAACAGAAACACCTTCTGAAACAAGTGTATTGGCATTAAGATATTTGGGATTTCCCCCCTTAAATATTAAACTATACTTATTTACCTTGATCAGTACTGTCAAATTCTTCTGAGGATACTTGATCTGAAAAGAGGCCATATTTACAAATAATTAGTCACACTTGTATCCACTCATGCATGTTTATAAGTCATGACAAATGTTTGAAATTTATTTACTGCTACTCATATTTTATGAGACTGAAGCACAATGCTAGAAAATCCTTGAATGTAACTAGCAAACTTCAAAATAAACACTTTTAAAAAAATAATATAATCTGTACTTTTTAAATTAATGAGTAACTCTCGCTGTTTATAAGAAATCTTGCTAACATTCAAAATATTCCCAGCAATACACATCAGGTTTGGATATAGGGCTAAAGCCAAAATGAGTCATATCTAAATAATGCATTTCAGTAGACTCACTGAAATGCATAAAACATCTGACTAAGTTAAATCTTACTGATTTCAGTAAGTCTGCTTCAAGAACGACTTACTTTGAATTAATCCATAATACTGGAAGTCCAGATGACAAGCATTTCTCTTGCCCAACTGAACCACATTTGTCACTGTATGCAGATCACCTCAACCACGTGTAATCCTAATCCAGGTAAGTGCTTAAATCAGCTCCCAAACCCCAAATTTGGTGTTAAACAGATTTAGGGCCTTCCCAACTCCTTCCCCTTGCTGCTACCATCCACATTTTATCTTTCTTTCACTATGAAACATAAACCACACACCAAAAAATTTCTGATTCAACAAACAATTTTTCAGTAAATATGTTTATGCTAGTTGCAGAGTCAATTGTTGTTCAAGTTAAAATTCAAAAATAAACTTTCCTTAAACCAGAAGTATATAATCTAACATAGGGGCTGCATAGACCAGCCATGTTTTACAGGTGGCCACCTTCTGGAGCCCCCAGCTCCAGTGCTGCCAAATATGTCCCCCATCAATTTCCCATTATAAGTGAGGAAGAGTAACTTGTTCCAGGATTACTAGGATGGGGAGAAGGTTTTCCATGCCTATAGGGAAAGGATATGATTGGGACATTTACTATGTATGTATATTTGCATGAGCATGTATCTATGAGTACTCATTGCTCCAAAACTCTGAACCTGTTACCTTGGGTGGCTAAAAAAGATTATACACACTTAGTTTAAATTCTGGGAGATCTTTTACCTTCAGCACTCTCCTTTTTCTTAGACTTGTGTCTGTGGGATGAACATAGTTTTGACCTCTTACATTTCAACATTTTGGAGCTTTGTTCTGTGTTCTTTCTCTTTTTTGTTGGCTTGACTTCCTTTCTCCTTTATAAACAGAAATGAGTGTTAAAATGCCAACCTATTTGTCAATTCAGCTGCAATACATAGACATTTGTTGTTGCTGTTATGTGCCATCAAGGAGCCTCCAACTTATGGCAAACCTATAAATGAATGACCCCCAGAATGACCTATCATTAACAGTCCTGCTCAGCTCTTGCAAACTCCAGGCTCTCACTTACATTACAGGGTCAATCCATCTTGTAACTGACTTTCCTCTTTACCCAACACCAGCATTATTACCTTTTTCATCAAATCTTGTCTTCTTTTGATGTGCAACAGTCCTCCCCCCCTTTTTTTTTTTACAATTTCTGCCCCTAGAGACTTCAGGCTTGATTTGATCTAGGACCCAGTTATTTGTCTTTCTGGCTGTCTAGGGTACTGCCCCTAGAGACTTCAGGCTTGATTTGATTTAGGACCCAGTTATTTGTTTTTCTGGCTGTCTAGGGTATCCAAAAAGCACTCCTCCAGCACCATATTTGAAAGAATCAATCTTTTTCCTGTTGCGTTTCTTCACTGTCCAGCTTTCACATCCACACATGGTAATTGGAAATACAATCATGTTGATTATCTTGGCCCTGGTTTCCAGTGATCCATACTCACATTTGATGACCTTTTCTAGTGCCTTCATTGTTGCCCTATTCTTGTGAATTCTTGGCTGCAGTCTCTGGGTGTGATCAGAACAGTATCTGTCCTGCAGTTTGATCTGATATGGGGACCAGCTAGTTTGCTCCTTTTTCTGGCTACCACATCATGTACCAGCCTACTCCTGATCAATATCTACTTTTTTGGGTCCCTACCAGGTGCTAGTGTGGGTAAAATCATTTCATTTTGGTTTGGTTCAAACATGTACAAGATTATTGGAAGGGAAGAGAAAAGAAGTTTGCATTTCTTTTAAATTGTTGCTAATGTGTAAGAGATGCTTTGAAAGGGCTTTTTAAAAAAGCTTCCCTGATACATAAGCAATAATTTAAAAGAAATGCAAACTTCCTCTCCCTTCCCCTCCAAATGCTAGTAGAAATAAACGTTTCCATTTCTTAAGATCATTAAACACCTTCACCAAAGGAACAACCAAACAGTTGCCTCTAAAGGGAAAGAAGATCAGTCTTGATCATGCTAAACAGGTTTGCTTGAGGTGTGGTATAGTTGATCCTTGCAAGAACTGCCCCAAATGACATACCATACCTCAAGAAACCCTGTTGAGCACAAAAAATCCAATCCAGGCCAGGATAATTCAGCAGTCTAGTTTCACCCTCTGTTTGGGCTTAATGATTAAACAGAGGTATACAAAATCTTAAACAATTTCAGTTTCTTCAACACATAGTAAAGTTACGTTTTTCTTCTGTAGTCATGATTTTTGTTGCCTTAGTGTTCAACTGCACTCCTGCTCTTGCGCTTTCTTCTTTCACCTTCATTAGGTGTCATTTCAAGCTATTGATGTTTCTGATAGCAAGGAGGTATCATCTGCATATCTTAAATTATTGAATTAATTTTCAGTCCACCACCATCTGAATCTAGTTCAGCTTTCTGTATGATACCATTCTGATCCACCATATTCTGTCCTAACACTAGCTTCTTGTCCAGAGTATAGACTACGTGTCAGGACAATTGTGTCAAGGCACTGTCGTTTCTTTTAGAACACACCATAAATTTCAATGCTCTACATAGCCAAAAATTTTGCTGGAGCACATAGATTGATTTCTTCTAGAATTCTCTGGTATGCTCCAGTAGCCAACGTATGTCTGCTATATGACCTCTAGTGCTTCTTCATTTTTAAAATCCAGCCAGAACAGCAGGCATTTCTCATTCTATAAATGGCAGAAGTCTTGGCTGTAACACATTATCACTTTGTTTCTATGGGAAATGCATGCAATGGTCTTATACTGTACTTACTGCACGCCTTGGTATATTTTTCCTGGGAAGTGGAATGTATATTGAATGGTTCCAATCTGTGTCCCTGTTTAGTTTTCCGTATCTATTAGCATATTTTTGTAAGAATTTTTGGAGTCTCTGTAGCCTAAAATATTTCTATCCCATCTACTCCTTGTGATTATTGCTTCCAAGCAATTTGACTTCAATTTCTAGAATTACAGGTTCATTAAATGTTTATTCTTTAAAGGAATCTGTTATCCTTGCATCTCTTCTGTGTACTTCTTCAGTACACTGTTTCTACCTTCTCTGTATTTTATCATAATCGAATAATGTGTTTCCCTGATGATCTTACAGCATTCCTAATCTATGTAGAAATTATCCCTTCCTTTCTTTCCTTTCATTTCTTGCATCTCATGGAAGAAATCACTTAAATTGTTTTTCTTTTTGTTGTTGTTGTTGTTCTCTTCCAGTTCTTGGTATTGATTATTGTAACAACATCTTTGTCTCTACATGATAGTTGCCATAAATTTGCATTCAAGATTTTGACCCTGATTCACCTATTACTTTTCCTTCTTGTCTCTCCTTAACAATCTTTCTTTTGACTTACAGAATTATTTTTGGCATGCTTTCTTGCTAATATCTCATTTAATCCATAGTTCTTCTTTACATAGAAACAGGATTATAAAAAGAAGAGTATTTACAAAATTATAAAAAGATGACCCTGAAAATCACACTTCTTTTAGTTTTAAAGATGAACTATGTGGTGCATTTATTTTGTATTTGAAAAGTACAGTTTTTTATTTGAATTAATAAAAGGCAGAGGTTTGAAACAATCCTGCTACCTTCATAAAAAGTCACATTTTAGATTAACTCAAATATGTCTCAAAAAAGACTGGGAACCATGTGAGAACGTGGCTTTTTACAAATTTAGACCTGCAGCCACAGATTAGCCTATTTTAAATGCTATTTTGTGATTCAAAGTTTAATAATTCATATGTAATATTTCTATAGAACTAGACCAGTGACAGTATCCCATTAACAAGTGAAAACTAATACATATTCTATTATCTTTTGGTTTAATATCTCCTTTTTTCTTCACAGAAATAAGACTACAATTCATGGGTAGACAGAGAGCATAAAAAGACACATACATAATGACTGTTCTTCCAAGTAATATGTTACCTGTGATGAAAGTTTAATTTGTAGGAGCATTCTGGACAAAGCCCTTAAAAACAAAAACAGAAAGAGAGACAAAGGGAGAGGGACAGATATTATGCTATTCAAGTAATTGTTTGGTAGCGATAATCTCTTTAAAAAGCCATTCCTCTTCACTCTTCTGTGACTACAACATATAAAACTGAATCTCATGTATCAACACTGTCAATATTATTAATATTAATATTAATATTGATGATGATGATGATGTGCCATCAAGTGAATTCTAATATGGGAACCTTCTTCGGAATTTTCCAGGAAAAAATTCGGAAGTGGTTTATCATTCCCTGCTTCTGTGGGCATCCTGGGACTCTGAAGCCTGCCCAAGGCCTCACAGGCTGGTTCTACTCCCAGGAGACCCAGTGTGGGATCAAACTCCCAGCCTTTGGCTCTGCAGCTGGATACCTAAAACTCCCCACACCCATGACTAACGCACGGATTCTGACAGGTTTTACAATAAGCTAATATAGACCTCAATGTTATTTTAAAAAGTAGGGATGTGGTGGCGCTGCAGGCTAAACCGCAGAAGCCTGTGCTGCAGGGTCAGAAGACCAGCAGTCATAAGATCAAATCCACACAACGGAGTGAGCACCCATCGCTTGTCCCAGCTCCCGCCAACCTAGCGGTTCGAAAGCATGCAAATGCAAGTAGATCAATAGAGACCACCTCGGTGGGAAGATAACAGCGTTCCGTGTCTAAGTCGCACTGGCCATGTGACCATGGAAGATTGTCTTTGGACAAAACGCTGGCTCTATGGCTTGGAAACGGGGACGAGCACCGCCCCCTAGGGTCGAACACGACTGGACAAAAATTGTCAAGGGGAACCTTCACCTATTATTTTAAAAAACCACCCAAATCTTTCCTCATTCTGGCTTTTCTTGCAGTCAACACAGTGACCATGGCTGAATGTCTCCCCCAAAGAAGGAAAATAATGCTGACACGGGTGCTATACACAATCTACAGAAACCCATGGCTGAGCAACAATATATTTTAAAACAAAGCTAGAACTCTTTCTGTGAACACACTCTTTAAAATTTCTTTTATATAGGGTTTTAAAAATATCTACTATTCTATACTGTGTAAACCCTAACATTACAAACACAGATTATGATAATAATAGAGCTAACTACATGAACTCACTTAATTTAACAAGTGCATTTTTCTTTTCACCATGTTCCACATAACCAAAATTCACCTCCCAGCTCTTCAAGCCTTCTTTCTCATCACAGTGCTTATTCCCACAAGAAAATTGACCTGGAGAAAGGTCAAAAACATAAACCAGCATTAAATTCATTAATTCATAGGGAACTCCTGTGTTCTCTATCTATGGCACATTGATGAAAAGCTGGAAAATAACATGTCACAAGTAAGTTACTGACAACGAAAGGTATCACTGCGGTATTTGCTTAACATTGCACAATATTTACAATTAAGAAGAACAGTTTAACAGAATAGTTTAGTACAAATCAGATCTAATCTCTCCAACATTTTCTACAAATAAGGGAAGACAGGACAAAATAGGAATGTATAGAACATTTAATGATCAAAGCACATGTTATGAGGCTATATCTAGTTTCTACGTGATTATTTGCCTAGGCAAGACTGGCAGCTGTCCTGGGATGTATCCTACACATATCATTTTATGTTTCAAAATCTAAAATACTATTCAAAATCACAATGATACATATAAATATGCAAATAATTAACTCCTTTAAACACTCCTTTACTTAGTATTAGTACAGATACTGCAGTCATGCCCTTGATCCAGATGATTACTTCAGGCTTTTCAAATGGTGTTTTATTTTCCTCCCTTCAGCTTGAACACCAACTCCACCCAGTGTCGCATGGCGTTTAGGAAAGGGGATGATATTTAAACCAAAAGTCTGGAACTCTTGCAGGGCATCCATAATTCTCCCTACTATTATCATTCCTTACTTTACAATGCTGAACTTTGCTTCAGCAGCAGAATAAGCACAAAGTGCAACAGCCTTAATTAAGCAGGTCCTATTAAGTGAAATTCATATACTTTATATATGCTTTCATTTATACAGGCTTGCTCCTGATGTGGCATAGAGCAGAAGCAATGTGCACCATCTCAGAGAGGGAAACATCCACATGCCTAGTGGTAACGATCTGTATTAATAGGCTCACCTCCAGTACTGTTTTTGAAAGATTAACCTCAGAATGTTCTGCCTAAGCTGCTAACCAATGGATTGACAGTGTCCTCAGATACTTCAGTCCTGCAGTGTCAAACCAATTGTAATTTTAAAGCTTGAACCAAAGAGCAAAGAACTCCTGCTGATGATGCTTATGTGCTTCTTCAATTTTATTAAAAGAGACTCCATAAATCTTTATTAAAAGAAACAACTGTGAAACAGAGTCTCTTGTTTTGAATATCTATTGTAAGATACAGGCTTTTATTTTTGTACGCCGCAGTAAATGTGTTATTTTTACTGCACATAAAAAATGCCATAACTGTGCCAAAACTAGTTATTGTGAATCAGGACTGCATTGCGATTTCAATCTGTCAGCATGAGGTAATAAAATAAATAAATATTATCAACAGGCTGGTTTTCAGACACAAAAGAACTCTTACTCAATATGACAGGATAAGAAGATAGTTAAGTTACTTTTAAAACAAAAAACAGATATATCCTACCATTGGGTCTGATCAACTGTTGCAAAGAACAACCCTTGGGGAAACCTAGTAAGATGGTATTCTTCAATTAAAACTTTGACTGAACTTTCAGTCTTAAGAAGGAATCTTCTCTCAGATCAGACTGGGAAATGATCTTGCATATTTTAGGCATCACTTGTAGTGTGCCACTTAACCTGCTCTCTCTATTTGACTCATGGCTTGGTATGGCACACCCTTCTCTTTGATTTCAGAATTATGTTTTTCATGCTGCTGCAACTGGTATATCTGGAAGATCCTAATTTAGGACTTCTAACTTGAATTGCCCTTAGATTTTTCCCTGTACTATGGTAAGTATCAAACACAAATAGAAAAGCATCTGGAAGTAATGTAAGCATAACATATGAGAAATACAGGCATAACATGTTTTATTATGTTAAACCAACACAACAATCAATGGTCCACATCTTGATGAGCCTAGGTTTTAGTGTGGTAGAGTAGAATTCAAATTCATGTTTAGACGTATGTTCACTAGGCTATCTTAATGCAGTTAATTCACTCAGCTAGACCTAACAAAGCAGCTTTTGAATATACATATTATCAAAATCTACTGGCTTTGTAGAGAAAACATGGCTTATTTTATTAGGATGTAGCAAATACAGTTAAGATATTAAAATTAGCTAAGATTAGTAAAAGTAGCTAAGATAGTAATTTGATTATCTGTGACACACATACTGAAAAACTGACTTCAAACTGGTATACTTGTGTATGTTTTCATAGCTAAAAAGCAGACTAGTAGGGGGTTCCCAGACTAATAAGAAGATATGGGTACAGCTAAGATATAGACATTTGTCTAGTTTGAGAATGCTGGTGAAAAGACACAAAAGGCAAGTCACAAAAATAAGTTCAGCAAAAGAGTAAACAACTGCATGTAGAGGAATCTTATACAGTAATAATGTTGAATACTTGCGCCCCTTAGTGGTGAACTATATTATTGATCTAAACCTATGGCAATGATCATGATAGCACTCTGTGAAGAGGTTTTTTAAAAAATTCAAGACGACAATAAATACATACCTAATACATATATTAATAAACTCATTGCATGATTAGAACAAAAGTAAGTGTGGCCATATCCTATCAGTAATAAAGTTATCCATGTGAATTGGACTAGAGATAACACTGAACTAAGCTATTCCTATACCCAGAGTTCCCAGGATGCTAACTACAGTATTAGTCATGCTTTTGCAGTATTGCAATGAACCCCCCTCCCTTTCAAGAGGGAGACCAAATCCAGAAGAATGAATGTGACTGCAGGATAATGGAGGCTCCTGGTTACTCTGCTGCCCAGATAGGCTGTCTCTTTGGAAAACATGGTCTGCCCCTAGCCCCTGCCTTCAAGATCATTGCCTTCTTCACATGGAAAGCAACATGTGGACAGAGGAGAGGCTCCTACTTGTGCGTGTGCTCTCCATACACACAAGAATGCTAATTACTAGCAACACACAAAAAGAAAACTCTCCTCTGCAGACAGAAACCAATAGAGTGGAAAGTCCAGGTTTTCACTAATGATGTTACTGACAAGTAAAAAGACAGGACACAGCTATACAGGCCCCCTGCACAAGCAGAAAGGCACATCTGGTCACTGAGGGAAAACTCTTAATGCCTAATAATGCCCCAGAACAAGGGGCAAGCCCTTTCCCTAAACAGAGAAATGCCACTCACAGCAGTTATGATCCAAATCGTAATATATTAAAAAAAGAAAAGAAATCTTACCTTTTCCTGAAATTACTTCTTTCTCATGCCTCCATCTGAAACCAAACTGTTAGAAATATTAAAAGCATGCATTAATGACTTTGCACCTACATATTCAGGAAACCCACAAAAATTCGATCCCAGGTGCATGAAGACTGCTGAGATACCAAACGCAACAAGTCAGGCAGCCCACAGTGTGAAAAGGAAGAAGCGCCTAAGCACATAGGGCCATTTTAAAGTTTCGTTTGAAGAGATTTAGGTTTTCAACTGTTACTGAATGAAAAATGGATGTTCACAAGCATGCAAAACTGACCAAATGCAAAGGATGTGGAGTTCCTGCATGGTTCCATTTTGTTCATAATTGAAACATGTGTCTTCTCCAAAAAGAAGACTAAGCAATGAGAAAGGACATTTCTCATAGCAGACATTAGTCCGCCACTAACATTGAGAGATGCCCCACACCTGCTAAGCTTTAGAATTGCAACCTCACAGTTCCAAGAGCAGAGGTCCCTAGCTGGATTGTCTGGGCTTTCAGGAAGGCTCTCAGCCACTCCCTGTCACCTCCAGTGTCACAGGTGATTATAAGAGCAGATTATTTCCTCAAGTGAAATTAATAAATTCCTTGTCCTACAAGAAGATGGAGGGTGAACAACTGACATTGATTAAGAGTGCATCTCTTCACAAAATGAGCAATTAACATATTGAATTTCACAGGATATGACTATAGCTACTCGTTTAGGTGACTATAAGGGGGTTAGACAAAATTACTGGGGATGGATCTATGAATAAGTACTATCTGAGATAAATAAACAGAATGTCCAAGCTGAGACGCAGCACATACTAGATGCTAGGATATAAGAAGTGAGGGAAGCTGTTGCATTCAGCCCTCTCTGGATGGCCACTGGTAGGAACAGCATACTCAGCCAGAACACTCATTTCTCACTTCCAATGAGGCTCTTTTCACAAGGAGACCTCTCTGGGAATAGCAGAAAGTAAACATGCGAGGCAACATCATCTTCTGAACTCATCAAGTGTACAGACAAGGAAGTAACATCTGAACTGCTCTGATTCTGAGAAACCCATTGGAGATAAATCCGTGGACATTTATTATTATCTAAATACAGTAGGGGCCCTGTATCCACAGGATCATTATCCACAGTTTCACTTATCCATGGTCTGAAAATATTAAAAATATTTAAAGAAACAAATCCAGAAAAAATATTTTCACAGGTATTACCAGAACCAGCAACTAGAGGGGGCCAGAGACTGTGCTATGAATAGTTACAGTATTAGTGAAGCTTACATAGCATGGTCTCTGGCTTCCTCTAATGACCACTTCTGGTAATGCATGTGAAAATAATTTTTTTCTGGGGTATTTCCTTCTTTCTATCATGCTTTCTATATAGTGTTCACCATTATCCATTATAGTGTTCACAGTTTTCAATATCTGCAGGCAGGAATTGGAACTAATCCCCAGCAGATATTGGGGGGGGGATTCCTATGTACAATGACTACATGAACATGGATAGTTACTCTTTACCATAACCATCTGGAAGTTAGCAATAAATAATAATAGATAAAAAATTAGAATTAATAGAATAACAACATTCTATTAATAAAAAAGTCTACCTCCTACACTTCTCTTAAGCAGCTCCCTCCAACATAGAGCCCTCTAACTGTTTGGTTAACTGTGAGAAATTATGGGAAGTGTTCTTCAAAATACTTGTTGAGCCACATTCAGGGAATGGCAACTCAAAAATACTCATTGTAGACCGTCGGGGGAGGGGGGATTCAGGATACCAGATATTTTTATCTGCATAAGGTTTGCTCAAGAGCACACGTGGATTTAAAGAGATTAAATTTAGTTTTCACTATAGACACAACATTTCATTAAAGCATATACCTTGTTTTCTTTGTATTTACTCAAATCTGCTATACAATATTCTTTAAACAATTTATCATAGTATTTCTTGCTAAGCCTCTTCTCCCTGAAACAACACAGTATTATCTGTTAGTCTGACCAAATAACACAAATGAGGGTAAATAACAGACATTTATGCAAGCTGACATTGGAAAGGCAGAAATACTAATAGGTTTCGTTGTTTTCTTTTACAATGACAAGTTGAAGTAGAATGTTAGAGAAAAGGGATTAATTCAATAGAATTAACCTGAAACATGAGAAATACATCAAAACAGACTGAAAAGCCGTAATTCAGCTTCAATTGACTGTTTTGCCTAGTGCATCACCTACATTTAACCTCTAGTTTGATTGATATGGGAACTGCCACAGTATTTGGTACTTTTGCTCCATGCCAGCACAAGAGCCATTCCTTCAACCTGATACAACACCTCCAACACAGTCTGTTTTGGAGCTTAAGTAAACTATAACTCTCATGGCATCTGGCCAGAATGAATTTTTGTTGTTCCCCCACCTCTGCTTCCCAGAGAATCTGAAAGCATTTTCCTTTTTCTTTTTAAAAAATTGATGACCTAATAAAGGTATTATCCAACTTTACTTCCAAGATGCATTAACAGCACAATCCTATAGACATATACTTAGATGCAAATCCCACTGTGTTTTAATTACTTCCAGACAAGCAGGCAGAGGACGTTTGATAGTTAAGTCTATTGAAGCCCGTGGCTATTATTTCTGAGCAGACACATATGGGCTTGAGTTGTGGAACAGATTCAAAATGATCTGGAGAGGTTTTGTAGACTTCTTTAAAATATGTTATTTTTAATCAGCAATTCATGACATTTCCAAGCCAATTTATTTTGTAAATAACTCACATTAACAGTAAGTGAAAGGGAGAAATAAATGAGCTTTATCACAGCCCAAGTTACCAATTCATGTCAGCTTCATCTTCTTCTCTCCATAGGAATCTGTGGTTTTCTCTTACAATATCAAGATCTGTCTTGTCATTTACTCTGAAAAAAAGGGAAGGCATATTTATATCTAGATGTCAAATGGATTTTTTAAAAAACAGAAAGATAATACAGCTTTCATTTTTCTTCAGAATCCCTTTAAGATATGTGATATTCCACTTTTCCAAATGGGTTTGTGTCAAAAATGGGAAATAAATGCATGGAAAACACAAAGGGCTAATATATACCATAGGCCCTCACCCTTATGATGAAATTGGGAGGGCAAGGCATTCTGCACCTCAGTGGAGAGGGGATGGAGACAGGGAAGGCATCAGTGGTCAGTCACAACCCTCAAGCTGTCCAGCTAACAGGTTTTTGGCTGGTTATAAAATGTCTGAGGCCAGCCGTTTACCTCATTCTGGAAATATTTATAGTTCATCTATCTTCCTAATCATCTGCACAAGACAAATTGATCATTTTGGGTGACAATACTTGTTGGATTAGTTTTTTCTGTCTATTCTGCAGCAAGTTTTTTTCCCAGCAACGCCAACAGTGTGTCAATAAAGTACATTAATTTGGTCCCAGCTGACAGGAATTGGGTTTAAAGTTGGAAACAAAAATTGGAGAACAGTGGAGAGGACCGTGAGTGACATGAGCTTCTCTATACTAGGCTTTCATGATCCAGAGATCCAATAAACAACATCCCTTTGGAGCCAGCCAGTCAAACAAAGTGTCAAATGGAGCTAAAGCTTGGGCAAGCTCCCCAGTATGCCACAGGACAAGTGCCAGTAAGAATTGCTAGGATTTATAGCAATTGAAGTGGGGCTAAAAGACAGCACAGTGCTCACTCATATACCTACTTATACTGGGGTAGCACAAATAATACAGTGGTGCCTCGCAAAACAAATGCCCCGCAGGACAAAAAAACTCACAAGACAAATGGTTTTGGGAATGGGGGTTGATGACTCGAGAAACAAATGTTCCTATGGGCGTGCTTCGCAATACAAATGTTTTCCGTTTTTTGTTCCTGCCTCATGTTTGCTGATTTTTAAATGTTTTTCTATGATGTTTAAAAAGTTTTTTTATTGCAATTTTTGAAATCATCTGCACAATATGTATGGCTTTAAAGAGCACTTAATAAACCCTTTGTAAACCCAATTTGATTTTGTTCTGACTTTTTTTTGCCCATAGGAACGTATTAATTAAATTTCAATGCATTCCTATGGGAAAACGCGTTTCACAAGACGAATTTTTCGCAAGACAACATTAACCGCGGAACGAATTAAATTCGTCTTGCGAGGCACCACTGTATAATTTTTGGAGGTAAACTGGCTTGAATTTTAAAAATCACATTATTAGTTGCATACTGTGTTATATGACAGGGTGCAACTGATAATATCTAGAGCAGTGTTTCCAGACTTAGGGGTTGGGACTCACAAGGGCACTGTAAAGTGTTTTTTACAGGGCTGCAGGTCACCTTATATGTGCTGGAGCCTTGTGAAATGATTTCTTCCTTGACCTTTTAGAATGGTATATTAAAGTAGGCATGTATGTATAGGTATGAGAAACAGGCCCTTTGGGAAGGAAAGAATTCTCTACTTTCTGAGAAATGATGACCCAGACTATTTTTTTACAAAAAAAAATGCCAGTGGAAAGATATAATTGCTGACGCTTCTGCAAGAAAGTGATTTTAACTAAGATGCCTCACTTTGGGACAGCCTAAAGAAGGGGAGGAAAGGGGGAGCGAAAGAACTATCTCCCATAACAAACTTCCATGAAAGGGACACAAAAAGAAATGGCCTGCCTCTTCTACAGTGGGTGCATGGAAAGCTTTGCACCGTTTTCTGAGCGGGATCTTCTCTCTGTGAAGGTTTTGCCCTCTCCCTGGGTACCGCAATGTCCTTCCACCCTCTAGCCCAGTGGTCCCCAACCTTGGGCCTCCAGATGTTCTTGGACTTCATCTCCCAGAAATCCTGGCCAGTAGAGGTGGTGGTGAAGGCTTCTGGGAGTTGTAGTCCAAGAACATATGGAGGCCCAAGGTTGGGGAACACTGCTCTAGCCCATCTCTGAAGTCCTCTGTCTTCTCTTCTCCCTACCTTTAACCTCTCTCGGCCTGATCCCTTCTTAATTTTGAGGGCAAAGCTGGCAGCAGGAGAAGCAGGAGGGTGAGCAGCAGCAGCATTGATAACGTTGCCATGTTGAGGAACGACAATGACAGCCTTTTTATCCCATTGAGGCTGGGGCCACAGGTTACTTGGCAATTTTTAAAGGGGGCTGCGACTCTAAAAAGTTTGGGAACCACTGGTTTCTGAATTTGGGGCAATATGTCTCCAAAGGTTATCCCATTTGCCCAAGTATGGCAGAGCATTTTAGCCACTGGATAAAAGGCAAGCATAACTTCTACCTCTGTGGAAATCCAAGCCAGGCACAGAATTTCTGCACTTTTTAGGTATACCCAGGGACTTCCATAAATGCAGTAGAGCTTTTAACAAGGGACATCACCACTCTACCACAAGATATAACTTTTTAAAAAAAAACTCCCCTAGGAAAAAAAACAGCCCAGCTAATCATATGATTGTAGTGACTGCAACTGTTACTTTTTAAACTCCCCCAGGAGAAAATAGCCCTGGGGCAAGTGGAACTAATCACACAATTCTAGCAACTGCAACTATGGCCATTCAGTATTCAGCTTTATAACTGAACAAGGTAACAGAATGTGTGTGTAACTATTACACACATTCATTTTACAGAAATTCATGTTCAGATTTTCCAGGAAGGACATGGTATTTTGTCATTTAACTTCCTGTGAGGGGAGGGGAATAAAAGAGAGATATTCCTAGGCTGCCTTGAACACTTCAGGAAATACAACTCTTCTGCTTTACGTAGTATTAGCTGCCATCCCTTATGATAAATTTAGGTACTACAGTGAACATGTTACCCTTTTGCATCTAGCTTTTGAACCATAAACTCAAGCCTGCCAACTCATTTATATCCTGAGATTTTTAGTTCCAAATTGTAAAAATAATTAAATAAACTGAAACATAAAATTGTCACATTGTATGCATAATCCAAATTACTAATGTTTTACACACCAAAGTATATCCTGGCCATAAACTATCAAGGGCTACATTAAACATATTTTCTTGTAACCTACATCTCTGTATCAGAGAAGTGCATATTCTATTTCATCTTGCTTTGCAAGTTGTTCTTTTTTGCAAGCTAACTCAGCTTTGAACAAGTAAGCTGAAATGTGAGAAGCAGTCTTGAACATGCAGTATTTATGTGCAGTCTAAACCTGTAAATGTTTACACAGAAGTATGCTACATTGATTTCATTTTGAAATGCTTTCAATTCTTTGTAAATAAAATTAGTACCTTTTGGAAGCAGGCCACTCTAATTTCTGTACTCACCCTGAACGTCTGAAGTCTTCCTTGTTACCACCGTAGTATAAAATATAGTCATTCACAAATTTCTTATGTCTTGCATACTGACAGAGTTAAGGAACTCGTTTGTACCATTTCTCATAAACAGATGCTCACATGGACATCAACTCATAAATATCAGACTTTAAAAAGACAATGTATTCCAGAAGGCTTTCATGGCAGGGATCCGATGGTTGTTGTGGGTTTTCCAGGCTGTTTGGCCATGTTCTTAAGGTTTTTCTTCCTAACGTTTTGCCAGTCTCTGTGGCCGGCATCTTCAGAGGACAGGCGTCAGAACTCTGTCTGTGCTCTGTTGCAGTTCGTTGGATAGTTGAGTATTTATAGCTGTGGCAACAGCTGTTGTCCTTTTCAGGAAATTGGGTGATTATGGTGATCAGTGTGTTTTTGCTGTCAGTGTATTGTTGTGATAAGGGGGAGAGATGATATGTCACTGTGATTGATGGGTGTCGTTAGCTGGTCTAAACACTTTAAAAAGACACTTTGATGATATGAGAAACAGCAACAGAAAAAGATTCTAAAGTTAAGTTTACTGGAAATGATGGTTAAGTTACACCGCTTGCCAAGGCCAGCAGTTGATGGGAATTCTCTCAAATACATTTTGCGAATCTGCCCATCTCCCCTTCTAAACAAACAAATTCTACCAAGAAGGTAGAAAAGTGCCACCTCTTCCACTTGTCCAACTCAGTCGGAGCTAGGAGCATTTCCTATTTTAAAGGACCCAATTTCCAGAAGAACAAGAACCAACCTAATCATCTTATACAGTATTTAGAGCCCTAAAGTAACAATAAAGAGAAGCATAAATAGTCAAAGTGTTGAAATAAGACACAGAAATCATATTAAAAGATGCACATACACATGAAGACTGTAAGGAGGTAAATATATTAAGAAATTAAGAATAAAACACCAAATGCAACTCCACCAAATATGCTGGGATGCAAAAAAACACATGCATACACAAATACAAAAACAAGACAACACAGCACAGAAACATAACCCCCCCCAGTCCAAACCCACCCTCCAAAACCCACCCGGAACTGTTTTTTAAAAAGTAGCACCTTACACATCCGAAGCCACCCGGGCTTCCACTGCTGCTATGACCACTGCCGCTGGGAGGCTTGAGCCTAGCCGCTCGCCTCCCAGCTTGTTGCCGCTGGGAGGCTTGAGCCTAGCCGCTTGCCTCCCAGCTTGTCTTCCACTTGCTCCGCGCCACCCACCGTGGGCCGATGGCGGGAAATTCAAATGGCAGAGGGTGGCGAGGAGCGAACAGGAGGTGAGCAGCTGAGCTGAAGAAACTCGGCCAGCTCAAGCCTCTCGGCACTCCGCTACCTCCGCTGTGGCCGGGAGCGAGCAGGCAAGTGCCCGGCCAGTTCAAGCCTCCCTGCGCTGGGTGACCGCTGCCTCGATCA